ATACATTTATCTGAATTAGGGAAGGGAAGGGGAACAACAAAAGGACAAAGGGGGAACCAATGCAACAGCGATACTCCCAGACAATATGTTAGAAATGGACTGTATAACTTGTGGGGGGAGTTGGAGGGAGGCAGGGAGGGAGGGGGTAACAAGTATAAGAAAGGTACTCTACTGCACAGATGTAACTGTAAGCCCTCTGTACATCACCTTCACAATAAAAATTTAAAGAATGGGAAAGCAACTCTAAAGAGTTCTATAGGAAAAAACTGCACATATATCAAGGTCATTACACCTAAGCCAACTCCATCCAGCTTCTGGGTAATCGTGAAACACTCTCTCATTGGCCTGCATTATTTCTTGTCTCACATCTTACAGTATGATTCGAGGGGCCACTTCTAGGATGTACTTTCTAGAGATGTTCCAGGAGAATGTCCTTCAGATATTTGTTACTAGTTTTAAAGAGCTTTTGAGGACACACTAACACTTTTCCCCCATGATTGAATTCAGCTCTAAACATTCTAGTATCTAATGGGCTTGCACTAGAAGTACATTCCATCTAGTGAAGGGTATAATTTTCTCTGTATTTGTTTGTGTGTGTACTACATGATCTTAGTTATAAACCACCTAAGTAGCTTGGATTAGAGACATGACTCAATGGCCCTTCTTTTTTTTTTTTAACTAAAACTTTTTTTTATTGTGAAAATATTGTACAGAGGGGTTACAATTACATGAGCAAGGTAATGAGTACATTTCTTATCAAGCATTGTTGTCTCCTCCTTTGTTTCCCCTTGCCATCCCTTTCTATCCACGCCCCCCCCCCCCAAGTTGTAAAGTTCGTTTTTTCGACATAACGTCTTGTATGTCTCATTATTGCAATGGGTCCACTTGTATCCCTATTTAAACAATTTGTTTTTTCCCTTCCTCTCCACAAAGTATACCAACATCAAATACAGTGAAAACAGGAGTTATACTGTGGGGGAGGGACATACAAAGCAACAAAGAAATCATCTTATAAATATGTTAGAAACAATCGCAAGAAAGATAAAAAACATTTGAATCCTTATCTTGGGGTTCATTTCGCCTAACATCAACTTATCTGACCATTTCTGCTTGACTCAGACATATACTAGTTATTGCAAATAAGAGAAACCATGGGACCTATGTTTCTTTGGGCCTGGCTTACTTCACTTAATAGAATTTTTTCCAAGTCTTTCCATTTCCTAACAAATGGGGTGATATCATTCTTTCTGATGGAGGCATAGAATTCCATTGTGTATATATACCACATTTTCTTGATCCATTCATCTACTGAGGGGCATCTGGGTTGGTTCCATATCTTAGCTATGGTAAATAATGCTGCTTAATAAACATAGTTGTGCTGGTAGCTTTAGTATGGTCTTGTTTCTGATCATTTGGGTAAATGCCCCAAAGTGGGATTGCTGGGTCAAAGGGGAGCTGTATGTGGAATCTTTTTTTTTTTTTTTTTTTTGAGGAACCTCCATACTACTTTCCAAAGTGGTTGAACAAGTTTATACTCCCACCAACAATGCAGTAAAGTTCCCTTCTGTCCACATCCCCTCCAGCATCTGTTGTCATTAGAGTTCTTGATTATAGCCATTCTAACTGGGGTGAGGTGGTATCTCAATTGTTTGATTTGCATTTCTTTTATGGCTAGGGAGGTTGAGCATTTCTTCATGTGCCTATTGGCCATCCTTCTTTCCTCTTCAGAGAAGTTTCTCTTTAAGTCTTTAGCCCACTTCTTTATTGGGAAGTTGTTTCTTTGAGAATTTGTTGTTTGGGGATTTAATTTTTTGAGTTCTAGGTATATTTTAGATATGAGACCCTTGTCCATTGTATGGCTAGCAAAGATCTTCTCCCAATCTGTGGGCTTTCTATTGATCTTGCTAGCTATGTCCTTTGCCATGCAGAAGCTCTGCAATCCATACAATCCCATTTGTCCAAACTTTCTTTGATTTGTTGTGTTTCTGGGTCTCTATGAAGAAAATTTCGGCTGAGCCAAGGAGACATAGGGTTTCTTCTATTTCATCCTATAATGTTTTCAGAGTGTCTGCTTTGACTCCGAGGTCTTTGATCCATTTGGAGTTGATTCTGGTACAGGGTAATAGATAAGGATCTAGCTTTAGTTTTCTACAAGTGATTAACCAATTTTGCCAGCACCATTTACTGAAGAGGCTGTCTTTCTTCCATTCTATTTTTTTTTTAACTCCCTTATCCAAGATTAGATAGCTATAGGTCTGTGGATTCATTTCTGGATTTTCAATTCTGTTCCATTGGTCCTGAAGTCTGTTCTTGTGACAGTACCAAGCTGTTTTGATTACTATGGCTTTGTAGCAGAGTTTGAAATTTGGTATTGATATTCCTCCAGCACTGTTCTTTCTGTTAAGGATTGTTTTTGCTATTCAGTGTCTTTTATAGTTCCATATGAATTTTTGGATTGCCTCTTCTATTTCCTTGAAGAATGAGGTTGGAATATTGATAGCTATCGCAATGGCCCTTCTTTATCTAATATTTGTGTCTCTGTTATCCCTGGATGATGGGTGGGTACCAGTACCTGAGCAGGATTCATCCTTTTGGTGATTTCATTATTCCATACTTTTACAACAGAGGGACACTATAAGTTAAAAAGATTTGCCTTGAACTGGGAAGGTAGCTCAGTGGTAGAGCGCTTGCCTTGCATGCATGAGGCCCTGGGTTTGATTCCTCAGCACTACATAAGCAGAAAAAGCGGGAAGTGGCGCTGTGGCTCAAGTGGTAGAGTGCTCACCTTGAGCTGAAGCTGAGGGACAGAGCCCAGGCCCAGAGTTCAGGTCCCATGACTGACGCCCAAAAAAGATATGCCTTGAAGAGTTACTGGAGATATGAACAAGCCTGTCTTTTGAGTGTAAGGTCTGCTTTGGAGGTTATTATAGCTGGGTAATAATGTTTTTTATATTTCCACGTGATTAAATTACTTTTTAGAATGGTCAACTAGGAGGACATAGCCAATCTAATAGTATTTCAGCTAGCGGTTTTGCTATCTGAATTATTCAACAAGGTTTATATAGAACCCATAGCTTTTATTGTGTCCTTTAATAATACATTTTGTCACAACTTGTAATTTACTAGTCATAAATTGAATTACTCAGAGGATTTTGTATAAATTTAAACTCTACTTTACTTTTAGAATTTATGGTCAAGGTTTGTGAGACTCTTAAGGCTTATGATGATTTTCAGACTGTGGCAACAAATTTGGCCATGGTATTTTGACAGGTGAAGACAAAAATTGAAAATGTATCTATATTCACAGCTCTTCAATGTGTCAAGTTCCTAGGGCATGCAAGGATTATTATTTTGTAATGTATTTGCTGCTTGCCACTCTGTTAACCAAAAACAATCCAGTCTGAGGGATCTAAATGTTAGAGGACATGTATGGGACCTATTTCATCTGAGGGAATTTGTGACAAAGCATTCTTGAAACACTTGAGGTGGGTCTCCTGCTTTTTTTGTTGTGGCAAAATACATATTTCTTACTGCCAAAATACATAATAAAAATTAAACTTAAGTCTGAAGTTTACCTTAACCATTTCAAAACATTTGTTGATGAGAATCACTGCCATCAACCAAGACATTCGCTATAATACTATTTTAAGAAGAAAAAGCAAGGATTGATTTTTCTGATTCTCCCCTTCCTCCCCCCCCCCCCCCATTCACTGATGTTTGAATGGGGGGTGGGAATCTGGTGAGTGTCCAGGAGCCAAAAGTTCTTGGTTAATAAACTCTTGAGTTAGTCTGCCTATCTGATCCTGGATATCTTCAGCAGTGACGGGAAGAAGAAAATAAAAGACAAAAATAAACTAAGCAGCACACCAGTGCTCTGGACGTTGAAGTACCCACCCGTGCTGAGTGGCAGAGGCCGCTCCGCGGCGTAGGAGCCCCAGGCTCAGTGATCGCACACAGCAGGGATTCGCAGCCTCCTGCACGCGCGCAGGTGCCCGTCCGTCCGGGGCTCTGCAAGCCAAGGAGTTTGATTTCAGGAAGGACCCGGCCACACAGAGGCTTTGGGGCGGTGGAGGACGTTTACACAGAGACGGGGACTCGGGGTGACCCTTCCCCCCCAGGGCTGCGGCCACGGGTCTCAGTGGCCAGCGAGGCGCAGCGTGTGAATCGGGGCTTCGCCAGTTACAGGGCCCGGGGGCCCGAGGCGCGCAGTTACCGAAAACCCGGGCGGCCGCGCACTGCGGGCGACGAGGGGCACCCTGGGAGGACTGCGGGGCGGCGGGGACCGACCCGGCACCACCGAGGTTCCGGGACCGGGAGGGAGGACGCCGAGCTCCAGCAGCCAGCGCGGGGCCGCGGCTGTTACCTCCCCGGACCCGCGCGACCCTTCCCGCGCCCCGGCTCCGCGGGCTCGGGCGCGCAGAGGACCCCCGCGCCCGCCCCGCTCCGCCGTCGCGCCCCCCACCCGGCGGCCTCCCGCTCCCCCGCCCGGTAACGGCTCCGGGCCCCGCGGCTCCCCCGCGCTCCAGCCGCAATGCGCGCCGGCGGGGGAGGCGGGGGAAAGAGGGGTCATCCGCCCCGGAATCGGCGCAGCCGCCCGGGGCCGCGCTGTGGGGGCGGCTGAGGGATCCCCCAGCAATTCCCGCCGGCCCTCTCCGCCCCTCGCGGCGATCGGCGCCCCCACCGCTAGCCCGTCGCCACGCCCACCGCCGCCGCGCGCCACGCCCACCGCCGCCGCGCGCCCCCGCCCACTCCCGCCGCGCGCCTGGCGCGCGCAGCCGAACTCGTCGCCGCCTCCACCAGAGCCGAGTCGGCGGCTCCAGCGAGCGGCCGCCTCCGCCGCCCGGCCCTCCGCGTCCCCTCCCGTCCCGCCCTCCGGCCCCGGCGCCGAGACCCGTTCCCCACCAGCCGCCCTCTTCCCTCTCCTTCCGGCCTCCCGGCGCTCCCGCAGGCGGCGGTCCGCGCCCGGCCCCGCCGAGCCGGGCGGCGACGCCGGCGGCACCATGAGCTTGGAGGGCAGCCACGGCAGCGACGGGCGTCGCGGGGCGGACAGCGGGGACCCCGAGCCGCCGCCCCCGTCGGCGCCGCGCCCCCCGCCGCCCGCGTCCCCCGAGTGCGCGGCGGGGCCGGTGCGGCCCCCGGGGGAGGTGGCCCCGCGGCGCCGAGGGGCCGACGAGCGCCCGCCGCCGCCGCCGCCGCTCGCCGGCCCGGAGGCGGCCGCGGCTGGCGACTCCGGGGAAGGTCCGCGGGGTTCCCCGGAGACGGCGGCCCCCGAGGCGGCGGGCAAGGGCGGCCCCGGGAAGCCCGAGGCGGCGGCAGCGGGCGGGGAGGGCGAGCGGCGGGGCGCGGGCGATCAGCCCGAGACGCGCTCGGTGTGCAGCAGCCGCAGCAGCAGCAGCGGCGGCGGCGGCGAGCGGCGCGCGGGGCACCAGCACCAGCACCACCAGCCCATCTGCAAGATCTGCTTCCAGGGCGCCGAGCAGGTAAGGCCCGCCGGGCGCCGGGCGCGGGCCGGGCCGGGCCACGCCGCCGCCGAGCGCCGCCCGCAGCCGCTTCAGCACCGCGGACAGCGCCCGGCCCGCCCTCCCCGCCCGGGCTGCCTCCCCTGCAGGCAGAGCAGACTTCCCGGCCGGAATACCCGGCCAGCCCGAGCCACACCGAGGCGGAGGAGCCACACCGAGGCGGACAAGCCGCGGGTGCTTCGATGAAGGGGTAGCGCCAGGGGTTTGGGCTTAGGCAGGCAAGCACGCCCCTGGGCTGTCGGGTGAAGTCGGGGTTCCACTAGTGCATCCCGAATACATCAAAAGAAAGAAAGAAAAAGAAGCAGGGTATTTCCTGATCGCACATATTAGTGGTTGAATCTCACACCGATGTGAAAAGCATTTTCGTTTTACAACTCTTACAAAAGAAAGAGGAAGATATTTTTTGAAGGCTTTTTTAAGCCTTAACATTATAAACACTACTAGAGGCTTATACAAAAGTCATCCTGTGGAGGAAAGGTAATGCATGTCTCGGTGGTGGGAGAACACATTAGGTTTAATATTTTTGAAAGTAAGGACATTGCATAAGATTGTGCAAGCTCACAGAAATATAGGGCCCTAGGTCAATATTTATAATGCCATATTTAGGGGGAAGAAAGCATAATGCTATCGCAGGCTTCTCTCCGGGATGCCGTGCATTTCGTCTTAAGCAATGATTACGAATAACTGCAGACTGGGGAACACATCTGACCATGCACTTAAAAGTTATTAAAGAGATTTAATAGTACAGCCTACCCCTCAAGGGTATTGGAGCTGTATCTTGCAGACCTTTCTATGTTGGTAGAACATTTATGTCATAACTCTAAGCAATACCTTTGGAACGGTTTTAAGACCTTAGTTCCATTCCCATCAGAGGTATTAAATCTTAATTTGATTTTTTTTTTTTTGGTTGGGATAGCTTGATGCTTGTATCTTTCTGGGTAAATAGCTTTGAAAGAGAAGAAAGTGGGCACTGTGTTCTGAAATGGAGATGCAGACGCACATATTCATACCGAGCTGTTTTCTATTCAGGGTGAGCTGTTAAATCCCTGCCGCTGTGACGGGTCTGTGCGGTACACACATCAGCTCTGTCTGCTCAAGTGGATCAGTGAGAGGGGCTCATGGACCTGTGAACTCTGCTGCTACCGATACCACGTCATCGCCATTAAAATGAAACAGCCTTGCCAGGTAGACACAACATCTACTTCATCGGAAATAATTTTGTTAACAGTTGAGTTATGACTTAGGATATTTTACTTAGGCTACTTTAGAACATTTTATGCAAACTGGAGGTAAAACCAGGATTTGGGATTTGTAAAGCTATGCTTTAAGAAAACCATAAGATTTTTTTTAAATCTGTGAAATTCAAAGGACATTTTAACCAAAAGGTTTAATAATTTGTTATTTACTGGATTAATTTATGCCACTTTTTTGCTTCTAAAAAGCAAGTTGGTAAAATTTCAAATACTGCATTTAATCAATTTCATTAATTAGAAATGTTACACAATTTAGTAATATTCCATTTATTTATACAAGCTCTGATGATCTCCACGTACAGGAAACAGATGAGAGTAGAGTGGAACTGTATAGTAAGGAAAATTTGCTTGAACCCATCTGCTCTAGTCTGAATACTCTCTTCACTGAATACTCTTATTCAGACTTTCTTTTTTTATATGAGATCTCTTCATAGTTGAATTTTAGGCCTTTTCATTTTGAATTCAACTACCTTGTGGATGCAGAAGTATTCCCAACACTTATTCTCAATAATATTACTAAAACTGCATGTATTTTTAAAACTTTTGCATAAAATTATTCAGTAACACAATATCATGATATTTGAAGGCCTTCAAATACCCTGAAATACAGGCGTTTTCTTTTATCTTTTTTTCACATGAAACTTATTCAAGTTGAGTAGGCTGGTAAAATATTAAAAAGAAAAGCAGAATAAGAGATTTGGTGGTGAATGAGGCTGCAGTTAATCCGATGTAAAAGAATAAGCAGAAACAAGAAATGTGATTGAAGGGAAATGAAGAAGGAATTGAAAATTTGAGAGAGAAAAATGTTATATCTAATGTTCCCTATTTATCTAAATTACCAAATTTGGGTTACATTTGGGCAAGATAGCATATATGAAATGTTTGCACAAATACCTAGAGACTGAGTTATTACATTAATCATTTAAATGTCTTAGTTTTAACTTTTTCATTTATATAGTTTGCAGTTCATTTGCATCTCTCACAGTTAACTATTTTAAGGTATGACTAGCAAGCATAAAATGAAAACAAGAGCTTTCTCAAGGGGACCTGACACTTGTAAATCATTTGGGAATAGGAAGCAAGCACATGTCCCAACACAGTTTTCAGAACCAGTAATTGACTGAACATCTTGGGTATCAGTTTATGTATGGATGTATCACAGTTGTCTGGAGAAAGCATAGGACCAGGTCCAAAGATCAGGTTATGGTTAATATCTATAATAATTTCACCAGTAGAAATACACATGAAATAAGAGATGGGACAGTTTCCTTACTTTGGTGACAAGTCCAAAAAGAAGTCTGTGGTTAGATGCTCAAGAGCTGAGATAAAATGCTAAGAAGTTCAAACATTTAAACATGTCTCACATGTTAATTCTTTATGGATATTAGTTTATAACCAAATAAGCAGGTCATTAATATGACATTTTAACATAGGGATGAAAGAACACAGCCAAAACATTATTTGTCAGTTGTGATCCTAAAACAAATTATAATCCTACATTACTGTCTTTTGCCTTATTAAAAATTTAGTAATTATTTTAGCAAAAGCAATTCCTTAAGATTTATATAATGTGGCCAGGCGCCGGTGGTTCACGCCTATAATCCTAGCTACTCAGGAGGCTGAGATTGGAGGATCGCAGTTCAAAGCCAGCCCGGGCAGGAACATCCATGAGACTCTTATCTCCAATTAACCACCAGAAAACCAGAAGTGGTGCTATGTTTCAAGTGGTAGAACGCCTGAGGGACAGTGCCTAGGCCCAGAGTTCAAGCTCCATGACTGACCAAAAAAAGCCCCAAATGATATATATCATATGATTCATCTTTCCCCTTCTGAAATAATCCAAACCCTAAAACTAACCCAATTCTACTGTCATCTAGTGTTTAATTATGACATATATAAATACTGTCATCATCTAAAATATCTGAATATTGCATTGAACTGCAAAATAATGTTTAGAAATAAGGTTGTTAAGAATGTGGTGCTAATGAGGTAAGATATGCCAGAAATGAAAGGCATAAAACTCTATTTGCTATATATGAAGCTTGGTACTTTGCAGGGTATTTGGTACTGGGTGTTGAATCCAGGGCCATGTTAGGCAAATGCTCCACCACTGAACTAAATACTCTCCAAGCCCAAGCTTAGTGTTGTTCAGGAACAGAAGTCAGGTATAAAATTCCCAAACAGTGGCTTCTTACATGTAGATGTAGTTTACACTCAGATAAAGTATGGCTGCTTGTTTGGCATTTCTATTATGGGCAACAGACACCTGAGCATTCTCTCTGCTTCTTAGTTCTCATTATTGTGAGTACAAGGCCAGAGTTAGAATTTATTATCTTCTTGCTTCTTTGGCCTGGTAACAATCCACATTTTCACAGAGCAAAATGAGGAAATGGGATTATGGTTCTACCCTTCACTACAGTAACTATAGAACTGTCCCCACAGCTGTAAGCAGGTGATTTCTTGGGTGAAGAACAGAATAGAGAATAAATGATACTATTAAGGGAAAACATGTGGTAAACACTGTGCCAGGCACAGTTCTAAGTGTTTTGCGTAAATAGACACTAATATTTAATCTATGTTATGGATCAATAAGGTGAGGAATATTATTATCTCTGTTGACACAAAATGAAATTGAAATACAGAAGGAAATCTATGAAGGAAATGCCTAGCAGAAGGCAAAGCTAGGATTCGAACTCGGTCAGTCTGGCTCCAGGGTCGCTGGTGTTAGCAACCATATTTGAATGTTGTTTCCCCTTTAGTCATCGTGAAGTTTCTGGGTACATCAGAACTTACACTGTTAAATCTCAAGCTCAAGGCAAATAGGAATGGTTTCATCCTGGGTCTATCTTTGGCCTGTTAGCAGCAACCTCTTAAGATTTTGTGTACTGACTTTGATCAAATGGAAGTTGTTTTCCACAAGCAGCACCACAGGAAGCTAATACAAAGCTGGTGTGAGTTGGAACATCCAGGATGGCTGGCTGGTTTGACTTGTTCTGGTCTGGGAGCTCAGCTGAGCTGCCAGTTGGTGCCTCATGTCTTACGCCATAACCTTGTGTGGTATCTGTGTTTTGGGAGCGTGCAGTAGAAGTTACTAATCATTAAGGCTTATCCTTGGAAATGATGTAACTTCACTTTTGCTCCATTTGTCTGATTGAAATCAAGTCATAGAACTAATTACCATTTAGTAAAAAGGAAAATAAATTCCACCTCTACATTCCAGCCTTTCTTTTAAAGAGGGTGGACATTTTTAACTCACCATGGAAATAGCTTTCAGACTAGATTTTCCAACCTGCCCTGGTCTGTGAAATTGTCTCTGTCAGGTCCTCACAGACTTATAGACATTATAACTGCTCCTTTGCCTCTGACTCAAAGATGGATTCACTCCACCCATCGTGTTTGGTATAACCTCAAGTACTTTGGAAGTACTAACATATATGATATTAAAAATATTACACATTGTAGATACTACTTACATATATCACTATTTTATATACACTAAACACACACACACACACATATATATGATATTACTTATATAAGTGTGTATATACATACTTATGTCACTATATATGTATATATATATCACTATTGTATATATATATATACTTAACTACTAATGCCTAAGGCTCCCTGGGAGAAGTTACAGTGAAGGACAAGGAGCAGTAGTCAGGAAGCAGGTGTGCATGTCAGGAGCATGCTGCCAGAGAGTCTGAGACTTTGGCTTTACCTGTTTGGATTTTGGAAATTGGATTCTAGACCTCTGTATTTCACTGGATTTCACTGATGGTTAGCCTATGACATTTGATGAAAAAAACTGCAGATGTATCCCCTACAACATTTTTAAAGTTTAATTATTATGTCATTAGCAGCAGGAGTTAATTAAGACATTTGCAGTAATTAAAATGCATCCACCTTCCTACTTACTTGCAGAATCTATTTCATTTATTAGCATATCCAGTATGATGAATTTTGAATCACAGTATTTGCTCTAAAATTAGCAAGATGCAAGAACACATAAGATCAAATTCACTCTGAAATGTTGGTGAGATTATAAAAGGATTAAGCTACACATCAGTTTGTGAATGCTTCCTGTATTTTTCCAAGCTGTAGAGATATAGAGATGTTTACTAAGACATTATGGGGGAAAATCTTAATCTTTCTACTGCCTTCTGATGGAAATGGAAATGAAAAGTTGTCACTTGACCTCTTTGAACCTCAGCTGTCAGTTTCTAAAAAGGAGAGAATAATGGTACCAGTATATGTAAGTATACTGAAGTGCTTAGAATGGTGCCTGGTACAGAGTAGGTGCTGATTTCTTCTTTTCCTCTGATCATTAGTACTTGTTTAGTTTGCTAAGAGAAGCACCTTCAGTTGCTAAGAGCTTTCTCTTATTATAGTTAATGTGTAAAGAGTGAAATTAGTGACTCCAATTTCTATATCATTTTTAACATGCTTATAACAGATAATTGTATATGGTTACAGTTCAAAAGAATCTGTTCAAATTCATGTGTACTTAGGAAATAGTTATATCAGGCTTGCTGGTATTTCCATCACCTCAGAGATTTATTATATCTTTGTGCTAAGAACAAAGTTGTTTTGATTTTTATTATACATTATGGCTGGCTATAGTCATCCTTCTTGATGTAGATAAGGTATTTCTCCCAGTGGTCAGCATCTCTCTTGTCTCATCTAGCACCCCTCCCTAGCCTCTGAAAATCACCAACTCCCTTCTCCTTCCACAAGCTCAGCTTTCTGTAGATTCCACATGTAAATGAGATCATATGATAGTTGTCTCTCTGTGCTGAGCATACTGCACTTAATGTAATGTCCCCTAGGTGCATCCATATGATCACAATGAACATATTTTATGTTTTCTTTCAAACACATGCCATACTTTTTAAATTTATTCATCTACTGTCAAAATTTAGATTG